GCCACTGCGCTCCAGCCTGGGCAACAGAGCGAGACTCTCTGTCTCAAAAAAAAAAAAAAAAAAAAAACAACTTGGTGCTGTGGTATGTCAATCTTTTGTTTTTAAAATAGAACCAGGGAGGCCAGGCACGGTGGCTTTTGCCTATAATCCCAACACATTTGGAGGCCGAAGCAGGCAGATCACCTGAGGTCAGGAGTTTGAGACCAACCTGGCCAATGTGGTGAAACCCCAGCTGTACTAAAAATACGAAAATTAACCAGGTGTGGTGGTGCATGCCTGTAATCCTCACTACTTGGGAGGCTGAGGCACGAGAATTGCTTCAGCTTGTGGTGAGCCAAGATTGTGCCACTGTACTCTAGCCTGGGTGACTGAGACTCTATCTCAAAAAAATAAAATAGAGCCAGTGTCCTACAAAAGTGCCTCTTGGGTTTTTTGTTGTTGTTGATTTTTGGGTTGTTTTTTTTTTTAATGCTATAGAAATATGTCAATTTGGGAATCTTTTAAAAATGAAGCTGTAAAACTGGATTAAAGTACTAGGCTGGCTGTCAGGAAATCTGATTTCTAGTACCAATTGCCATTAGCTAACTAGGACACTTTAAGCCTGGGAAAACACAAGGCGGGTGCGTGCGCGCACACACACACACACGGTAAGAATACAAAGGTGTAAGTTCTACTGGAAAGTGGAGTGGGAAACTTTATGACTTGGAGGTTTTAAGTAAGCTCTTCTAAGTGATAATTTATTAGGTGCATTTTATATTCTTGGCATTGTTCTAAGTCTTGTTATTATCTCAATTCTTACAAAAATCCTTTGAAATAATACTATTCTCTCATGTTATAGATGAGGAAATTGAAACACAGGTTTACCTTGTGACTGATGGAATTAAGATTCAAGTCTTGATTTCAAAGCTTTATTTATTTATTTTTTTTGAGATGGAGTCTCACTCTGTCACCCCGGCTGGAGTACTGTGGCGCCATCTTGGTTCACTGCAACCTCCAGCTCCCAGGTTCAAGGGATTCTCCTGCCTCAGCCTCCTGAGTTGCTGGGATTATCACAGGCACATGCCACCACGCCCGGCTATCTTTAGTAGAGAGAGGGTTTCATCATGTTGGGTCAGGCTGGTCTCAAACTCCTGATCTTGTGATCCTCCTGCCTTGGCCTCCCAAAGTGCTGGGATTACAGGCGTGAGCCACTGCGCCCAGCGCATTTCAAAGCTTTCTTAACCGCTATACAATGGCAGCTTACCAGCTGAGCAAAGGGATCTAGGGGTGAAATTTCACGTAAGTAAAATATTTTCAAGATAATCACCTGTTAGAAGCTTAAGCTTCAAACATTTAAAAATTGTGATGAAAATATTTCTGGCTGGGCACTGTGGCTCACACCTGTAATCCTAGCACTTTGTGAGACCTAGGCAGGCAGATTGCTTGAACCCAGTTTAAGACCAGCCTGGGCAATATGGCAAAACCCTGTGTACAAAAAATTAGCTGGACATGTTGGCACACACCTGTACTCCTAGCTACTTGGGAGGCTGAGGTGGGAGGAACACTTGAGCACAGGGAGGTTGCAGCTCCAGTGAGCTTATATAGCGTTTTGTGAGACCAAGGCAGGCAACCACCTGAGGTCAGGAGTTCAGGACCATCCTGGCCAACATGGTAAAACCCTGTCTCTCCTAAAAATACAAAAATTAGCCGGGTGTGGTGGCACGTGCCTGGAATCCCAGCCACCTGGGAGGCTGAGGCAGGAGAATCGTTGGAACTGGGAGGCAGTGGCTGCAGTGAGCCAAGATCACGCTACCGCAGTCCAACCTGGGTGACAAAGCAAGACTCCGTCTGAAGAAAAAAAAAAAAAGAATCCAAAGTTACGAAGTTTATGTGCTAGCAGTTTTTTAATGAAGACTTTTAATTTGCAGTTCAGATTGTTGAAAATGTGAGCTACAAATTAGCAAGGGTTTACTGTAAACATGTTATGATTCAGCTTTTGATAAAGTGTTTACACTTTTATTTAATGTCATCCATTTTTCCACAGGGTATGGACAGTGGATTTGCAGGTGGAGAAGATGAAATTTATAATGTTTATGATCAAGCCTGGAGAGGTGGTAAAGATATGGCCCAGAGTATTTATAGGCCCAGTAAAAATCTGGACAAGGACATGTATGGTGATGATCTAGAAGCCAGAATAAAGACCAACAGGTACCAATCCATACAACTCAATTTCAGTGTTTACACTGGCGAAAGCAAAGTAGTTCATAGTCTTTTCTCTTTTTCCCTAGATTTGTTCCCGACAAGGAGTTTTCTGGTTCAGACCGTAGACAGAGAGGCCGAGAAGGACCAGTTCAGTTTGAGGAAGATCCTTTTGGTTTGGACAAGTTTTTGGAAGAAGCCAAACAGCATGGTGGCTCTAAAAGACCCTCAGATAGCAGCCGCCCCAAGGAACATGAGCATGAAGGCAAGAAGAGGAGGAAGGAGTAGACACAGGTCTCTTCATAGTGAATGAACTAGTACCCATTACCCTAATGATGCAAGTCATATGGGGGAACACTTTGTAAATGGTCAGGATAAAAAACAAATCTGGGTGTGGATCCCAGCACTACTTTTTATTACTGGAGAATGGGGGGGGATAGAAAATTCTACTTTGAATTATTTAGTTTTTTTAAAGAGTGGGTTGTGTTTGTGCTTTTCCCACCTTTCAGCATTTATAGAACATGCTGCCCCACATACAAAGTCAAGACCACTTCCTTTTGTGTGACACTAGTAGTTTGGGGTTAATATTTTGTGTAAGAACAGCTGCATATGAGTAAAGTTACCCCAACCACAGTGAGGAGGATGTTCACATACTGGAACTGTCCTGCCAAATAAATTTTGCCCCTGTTGTGCTCTGTTTTAATTTGGAGTGGGCAAAGTAACCTCTTGCTTGGTGCAACTATTTGTTTCAAATAAAAACATTTAGACAAAATTCTCAGTTATGTTAACTTTATTAATAGGCTGCGGTCTCAAAAATCTTTCTCTTCATCATCAGATGTCAGCAGAACTTTCGGCTTTTGAGCTTGAACCTGGACCTGAAAAAAATAAGCACTGTAAGGAAGGAAAGGCAATGTTTGCAAAAACATTCAAACTGAAAATCGCTTTTTTATTAGGGAATCAGTATGAATAACTCAGGCAGTTTTTATTTGTACCTTGTTCTTTTGTTTTCTCCTCAAATTCCTTTTACCATCTTTCTTGATACTATGACTCCCTAACCCTCAATTAAAAATTGTAAATCAGGCCAGGAGCAGTGGCTCAGGCCTGTAATCCCAGCATTTTGGCAGGCTGAGGCAAGAGGACTGCTTGAGGCCAGGACTTCAAGACCACCCTGCAACATAGCAAGGCCCTGTCTCATTAAAAATAAATTTAAAAACAAAATAGTAGATCAGTTTGGCCCAAGATCACATGGTGGAAAAGCCAAGATTTCAGCCCCAGCTTGCCTGACTTGAAAGGTAGACTGCTGGCTGGGTGCGGTGGCTCATGCCTGTAATCCCAGTGCTTTGGGAGGCCGAGGCGGGTGGATCGCCTGAGGTCACGAGTTCGAGACCAGCCTGACCAACATGGTGAAACCCAATCTCTACTAAAAATACAAAAAAAATTAGCTGTGCGTGGTGGCACATGCCTATAATCCCACCTACTCAGGAGGCTGAGGCAGGAGAATCACTTGAACCCAGGAGGCGGAGGTTGCAGTGAGCCGAGATCACACCACTGCACTCTAGCCTGGGCAACAAGAGCGAGACTGTCTCAAACAAACAAAAAGAAAAAAGTAGACTGCTATGTCCACTGTGTTATATAAACTGGTTACTCTACCACCCCCCATTCTTTTTCTTTTTTTTTTTTTTTTGAGATGGATTTCGCTCATTGCCCAAGCTGGAGTGCAATGGCGCGATCTGTCTCCCGGGTTCTTCTGCCTCAGTGTCCAACCTGTCTTCCGGGTTCTTCTGCCTCAGCGTCCTGAGGAGCTGGGACTACAAGCATGTGCCACCATGCCCGGCTAATTTTTTTTGTATTTTTAGTAGAGACGGGGTTTCTCCATGTTGGTCAGGCTGGTGTCAACTCCTGACCTCTAGTGATCCCCCCACCTCAGCCTCCCAAAGTGCTGGGATTACAGGCGTGAACTACCGCACCTGGCCTACCACCCCATCATTCTAACAAGCATTAAGGTAGCTTCAGTTACAAATCTCTCAAAGTCCCCATCATTCCACATTTATGATCTATTTGATACATAATTAAATAGTACCTACATGTGTATCATACATGTGTCTGGTATAGAAAAACAAATTTACCTTCACTCCATCTATAATATGATATTCCTGTTGTAGTGCATTCTGAAGTTCTTCTTCTGAAGAAAACTGAACCCAACCCAAACCTCTGTGAAAGCCAGTCCCCTTGTCCTAAAAATTCAAAATATAGGAAAAGATTAATCATGAACTTGAGAAAGTTTCCATGAGCTCCAAGTCAAACTACCAACTTTTTCATCTGCCAAAAATCAGATTTTTTTTTTTTTGAGGCAGGGTCTTGCTCTGTCACCCAGGCTGGAGTGCAGTGGTAGGAGCCGGACTCACTGCAGCCTCAACTTCCTGGGTTCAAGCAATCCTCCCACCTCAGCCTCTTCAGTAGCTGGGATCACAGGTACATACCACCATGTCTGGCTCATTTTTTATATTTTTTGTAGAGACAAGGTCTTGCCTTACCCAGGCCGGTCTCAAACTCCTGGGCTCAAGCAGTCTTCCCATCTGGGCCTCCCAAAGTGCTGGAATTACAGGCATAAGCCAGCATGCTCAGCCAAAAATCGATCAAAGACATAGGTGTCAGTAACCTTGCTTTACACCCTTCCTGATTACCCAAAGCTAAATCCCTGTTGTTAAACTTCCTGTTTTCCTTGCTGCCATTAGAGAAGATATGGGTCATGAGCTTTCTGTATCATTCTAGATGCAAACCATACTAACAGTAATAGCTAAGGGAAATTTTGATCAGTACTTTTGTTCTAAGCCTCGTTTCTGGAAACTAGAAAATTAAGCCTCAAAGGCTTGTTGCACTCATTTCTGAATCCAGTCACCCTCATCACCACCATGACTATCATATGTTCCTAATGAAAAACAAGAAAAGATAATATTTAGCCCTTACTTAACCTAGTTATAGACTTCGGGTTAATTTAAACAATTTTGCTACTTTCCCTTGTGCAAAAGTTTCAACCTATACATCACATACGGAAAACAGATTCTAGAGTGCTTGGATGTACCCGGCCCCTCCAGCCCTTCAACAGAAAACAAGTATTAAGATGTCTAGTCCCTGTAGATGACAAACTGGTCCTCATTAGTCTCATTCAAGTTATGCTGTGCGTTGCCAAAGAAAATCAAAATCTTACAATTGCTCCTATACTTCAAGGATAACTTTATAAGGAATAACCTAGAATACAAGAGAAGTTTCTGGTGATGTCCCAATGATCCATTCATTGTAGATAAGACAATTTCTAAAGCATTCCTTTACTGTCATGTGACCACTTCCACAGTCAAAGGCATTAAGAAATTTGTTTATATATTAAAACAGGCCAGGTGCAGTGGCTCAATCCCAACACTTTGGGAGGCTGGGGTGGGTTGATGGCTTGAAGTCAGGAGTTCGAGACCAGCCTGGCCAACATGGTGCAACTCCCATCTCTACTAAAAATACAGAAATTAGCCAGGTGTGGTGGCACATGCCTGTAGTCCCAGCTACCTGGGTGACTGAGGAAGGAGGATCACTTGAACCCGGGAGGCAGAGATTGCAGTGACCTGAAATAGCACCTCTGCACTCCAGCCTGGGCGACAGAGCAAGGCTGTCTCAAAAAAAAAAAAAAAACTCAGTCCAGGTGCAGTGGCTCATGCCTGTAATTACAGCACTTTCGGAGCTAAGGTGGGTAGACTGCCTGAGTCCAGGAGTTGCAATATGGTGAAGCCCAATTTCTACAAGGAATACAAAAAACTAGCCAGGTGTGGTGGCACATGACTGTAGTCCCAGCTACTCAGAAGGCAGAGGCAGGAAGGATCCCTTGAACCCAGGAGGTCAAGGCTGCAGTGAACGTGATTGTGCCACTGCACTCCAGCCTGATGACAGAGTGAGACCCTGTCTCAAAATAAGGAACCAGGATTTCCAACTTGAGTACAATGAATTTAACAAAAAATTATTTTTTGTCATATTTTATTTTGTTTTATCAACATCAAAGCTGCCTTTTAGTTAAATCTAAGATCTATTCTTTCCAGGTCCTATTTTATTTATGGACCAAGAAAAACCTATTAATTTTTTTTGCAAGGAACTTATTAAATGCTCTTGAAAAAACTGAAGTTTTCATGCTTATAGAAAACATTTCATGTCCATAATACATGTGCCCAACTTTTCTATTCAACTATATAAAATTCCATTGCATCAGTGACTTAATATCTAATCAATCCCAGTGATGAACGTTTAGATTTTTTCTTCTTACTTGACATTAAGCAATGCTGCTTTGGAATATTCTTGACCACACATTTCTGTAGGATAAATTCTTAGACAAGTAACTGCTAGATCAAAGCAAATATAAATTCTTAACTTTGGTATTTTGTCAACTACACATCAGAACTGAAGGTACCAGCTGAACTTCTCAACAACTTGAGTGCCAGATTCCCTACACCTTCACTGGTACTATATATAACTAATCTGTTAGTCTTTGGGAGTCAAGTAACATTAAACCAAGAATTAAGAATTTAAGTTCCTTTATGTTTTTATTTTACTACAGCCCTTATAGTGCTGCAAGGAAAAAAAGGTTTCAGTCAAGTGTGTGTAAACTATATACTCACATCACACCCTAAAAAAGCCCACAGAAAAATACAGTCCAGGATAAATTTATAGGCTGATTTCTAGACCCTCCCAAGAAAGCAAAGGAAATGTAATTAATCTAAAAATACTGTTTTATTAGTTACAAATCTAAAAAAGAAAATGGTACTCAATGAAGATAAAACTTAAAATATCCTCTGCCAATTATTAGAAATCTCAAATCCTTATTAGAATACTGTAGTAGGCAGAATTCTCAGATAGGCCCTATGATCTCCATGCATTCCCCATGTCACACCCTATATAATTCCCTCCCCTTGAGTGTAGGCAAGACCTGACTTGCTTCTAACCAAAAGAACACAGCGAAAGTAATGGGATGTCACTCCTGTGATTACGTTCAATGTAAGATGCCATCTTAGCATACTGGAGAAGCCCTTGCTGGCTTTAAAGAAGCAAGCTGCAATGTTGTAAGACAGCCTACAGATAAACCAGGTAACAAGGAACTGCAGGGAGTTCCTAGGTGAGAGCAGCTCCCAACTCAGAGCCAAAGGTCAGCAAGAAACCAGACCTCAGTCCTACAGTTAAAGATGAATACTGGCCGGGGGCGGTGGCTCACACCTGTAATGCCAGCATTTTGGGAAGCCCAGTGGGCGGGTCACTTGAGGTCAGGAGTTCAAGACCAGCCTGGCCAACAGAGGGAAACTCCATCTCTACTAAAAATACAAAAA